CAGACAGACAGACAGACAGACAGACAGACACACAGTCTGAGGTCACTACAAGCGAACATCCATGTCCCAGGGAGCAATTAAGAAGAAAAAGACATACTCTAAGACATACGAGAGACTACTTGAGGTCAACGATATATTTGACGAGATATTTTGGAGATACCTTCACTTCTGCTTCCAGATCACTAGTCTGAACAGGAACGGCGACAGCTGCCCTCCATTGCGATCGTCTCTACACGGGGGCTGAGTAGATAACGCGAAAAGCACAATCTGAGCCATCATAGTGACAAAACTGTAGTCCCCAAGCGGAGCTCGGTTACAGCTCGCATACAAAGGTCTGGAAAGCAACGCATCTACTCGGTAGAGGGGGTATAATATGGACAGTCCGCTTTTTACACGATCAGTACGAAAGGACCAGATGTTCAAGAGGCTTTATGCATAGGTGTTACTCTATTAGCTCACAAGTGACAAACGGTAAATATTCAATAATTCCGGTCTTTTCTATCGTATGTCAGATATGATTCTGAAGCCGCAAAAGGTATTGCCGCTGAGTTTCTTGGAGACAAGAGAAGAGAGGTGAGTCCCAAAAGACAGATGATGGTGGTGGTGGTGGCGGCGGCGGTGGTGGTGGTGGTCCAAAAGATCGCTGGAATGGGGAGTTATGTATTCTGATGTTTCGGATTCTTTCACGAAAACATCATCAGGGAGGTCTCGGATGCGGGGTTGTAGAGACAAAAGGGGTGCAGTTGTTGTCATGCTAACGTATGCCATCTAGACTTAACACCGGCAGCTGAAGATAGCATTCGGAGGATACGTCTAAAAATGACCAGTTCTTTTTAAGTAAAGCTGGGAAAATAACTGGAGAGCGGTACAGAATGAGAGGGGGAATGCAGGCATCTATAAATCGCTAGATAAGCGCTTGCGCTGTGCGATATGAACGCAGGCTGCAGGTATAAGTTAAAAGTTTACGGATTTTAATAAAACATATGTAAACGATGTGGACTAGTATAAAAATTGAAAAAAGACAATTTGTGGCCTAGACCACAGAGAGAGGAGGCCGTTATTTCCCAATATAATCTCGTTTACAACGAGGGATCAGTCGGTCATCGCGCTGCAAAGCTTAAAAATGCCACATATTCGCAATATTTTTCATTGGCTTTGTTTAAAACAACGTGAATAACATACTGTTACTCCTCAAAAGCTGAGACATAAATGCAGTCTTATACTGCCAAGTAGTCGGGTGACTGCTTTAATTTCTCAACTGCCATTGAACTCTGAAATAGTAAGGAAAACGGGCCTGCTAGCCTGCTGTGGTAAAGCCGAATTATTCCTGGGAGTTTTGAAATGGCAGCATTTTCAGCATAATTATGATTCATTTATTCAGTTCTAGCATGCTAATGGCTAAAATGAAAGACAGCCTATGCAACCTATGTTTCAGAGCACTATTTAACGCAAATGCACGAGACTAACACCAAAACGGAACGAAACTATACGATAAAGGATGTTGTGATAAGTACTAGCTACAAGACCATAGGAACAACAAAAATCATCATCCACATTAAAGTCCCATTGATGCTGGTGACCCTGTTAGCCAAATCCGTGGCTCCCCAATCCAAATTCCGGGGAGCTAGGGGATGATCCGGGGGTGAAGATGTGGATTCGACTGGGGGTGAGGACGGGGTTTTCAACCCGCATATCTCCGTACTCACCCCCGTCGTCACCCCCGGATCCCCCCGTCAAAATGACGGGAGGGTATGCATATTAGTAAATTAACCGTATAAATAATATCAAATGTCACCTAAAAACGCACTTTAAGCTCAAAAAAGTCAAAACAATGAGTAAGATCGCCCTTTAAGTCCGTCTACAGCATTCTGAAAATCTCGGACTGCGGAATAATACATATGTCTTAAACATAAACTCCGGATACACCCATATTCACCCGTCGTCACCCCCACCCAGTTTTCGGCGTGTGCTGGCAGGGGACGCATAGTCAGAAAACAGCTTTGCGAGCATGAGAAGCGCTGCAGTTTTCAGACCTTCTACGATTCCCGGTGGTAAAAGTCCTTCTCCTCCTGCGTATAATTATTCGCCAAAACGAGGGAAAAACGCAGCCACAACACAGCCTCTTCCAATGAATGCACTCAAAACATCCTGTCAGTGTGTAGGCAGCGGAGGTCACAAGACCGACGCGAAAGTGCAAAAGTTCCTTTCGCCTGCGATATGAGCGGTAGCAAAAAATCGTCATTACGTCGGTTGCCGTGGCGCAATTGTTTTTCGCACTGAAAAGTTCATATGGCATCACATACTTGTTGTGCATTCTGATCGATAGAAAAAAACTCTTCCTTCCATAAACTGGACCACTAATTAATGTCGCCCCGCATATTTTTCTCGCTACCGAAGGTTTCCTTGCGTGTGTGATTCAATTTCATGCACACATTGAGTTCAGGTCTGATAATAATGATACCAAGGGGGTTGTAAGTGTATCTTAAAGTACGACACTGCACCCCCGCACTGTTTCCTACTCATCCAAAAGAAAGTTCGTTGGTGGACTCTGATGCATACTTTTTAAGAACTTGTGGTTTCCTTCATCATTCTCCATGCCATTTATGCTTGCTATCGTTGGACATGGATTGCCCAATATCACATGTAGGAATTTTTAATTATTCCCGTTCATCAAGAATTCCCTCATACTTTATTCATAATCGACAAGGCCATTCCAATTCCTCAACTCTGACCTTTCTTGGCAATGAAAGGAAGGGGGTGTGGCAGATTAGAATAATACTGTTGACCCAAATATGAAAAAAAGTTCGGTGGGATTCGAACCCATGCCAGCTAGGGAAGGCTTTAGTACAGCCAACGCTCTAGCCAAATGAGCTATGAGCTCCCCACCGTGAGCGGTGAATTTAATCACACCTCAGTCGATTTACCCGCCCAACCTACTGAAACGTATGGGAGCTACCAATTCTGATACAATAAGCTGACTACCCGTGCAGCATTTCGTAAGAAACCAATCTAGAATCCACCAGATGACAACCAGACGCATTTATTTATTAGGAGGGGTTTTGGCAGATTTAAATTATTCCTTTGACCCCTTGCTGGAGTAGGTTAGAATTCCACCGAGGCCGCCGATTTTGTCACAACTGGGTCAAACGTACTATTCTTTAACTTAAATTCGTTGGGGGAAGTGGGTACCAACTAAGGAACCTCAGAATACATGACTGCCACTTGAAGAAGGAACTAAGCTGAACAAACCAATGTTTATCCTTCTTCTCTCAAAGGGTTATTCGG